GTTACTTGGGAGAAGAGACCGACACCCACCTCGCTACAACCTCCTTTCAGGTAGTTGTAGAGAGCGATGAGGTCTCCCCTCAGCCTCCTTTTCTCCAGGCTAAACAACCCCAGTTCCCTCAGCCGCTCCTCATAAGACTTGTTCTCCAGACCCCTCACCAGCCTCGTTGCCCTTCTCTGGACACGCTCCAGCACCTCGACGTCCTTCTTGTAGTGAGGGGCCCAAAACTGAACACAGTATTCGAGGTGCGGCCTCACCAGTGCCGAGTACAGGGGCACGATCACTTCCCTATGTTCAATGCTAAAAACCACAGACACTGCACCTCCAGTATGTAACAAAATCATTCCAAATTCTCAATAAGCACCATACCAGTGGCAAGCAGGTATGATCAGATTATGCTCCCAAGAACACAACAATAATGCGTGTGGAGCAGAAAGAGGTAAAAATCACAGACCTCTGTGGAACTGTATCAGAGACAGTCATGAGGACATAGGAGCAAGGTGACAACAAAGTTACAAAAAAAAATCCAAGCCAGAAGCCACAGGTGGTTTAGCAAAACCTTTTTAATCAGTTATATCAAATAATGCTGGCAGCCTTTAATATAACAGCATGAGCACTTGATTGCTGTCCATGGCTAGAAAAATCATAATTACTCTTACAGCCTGTACCCAAAGCTACCCAAAGGGACAAAATAAAGCAGTGCACTTCAGGTGATATCCGAAGTTACTTCATCACAATTTCTGAATACCCTTACCTAAAAAGGAAAGCTTAGAAAGAAGTCGATAACCGATGAGGTCACTAACAACAGACTGCTAGGACCCCTGCTCAAGAAACAACCACCACATTTGCGAGAAGTTGATCTATTGTAGAAAGGTATTGATAAGGTGCCATTCTAAGATCAAATGAAATTATTTAGCTACAAAACATACGCACAAGTAATAAACTGTAATTCTCCACCTATCTAATGCAATCTGCTTAAAAAAAAAATCATTTTGACACCTCTATATATTAGAAATACTGCATCTCTTCCAAGGAAAGGTTATACACAAAATATTATTTTATGGTGATAAATGCTTGACTTTATTGCTAAACAGAGGCAACGTGGTTTAACCTCAAAGGCTATTATCCAGAGTAGCTCCCTAATCCAGGAAGGAAAAAAAATTTTATCAGTTCCATCACAGTCAGACTAAACAACCTTTTCTAGTACCAATACCCTCATTTTTATTTCAATTTCTTATAGATATTCTGTACAAATGAAGTATCTAGTATACAAGGCAATAAGAGAAAACTATGGTTTGTAAAACCGGTAAGAAGAAAAAAAAGTTGCATTTGGTGGTGATAAGGTAAAGGGAAAGAATTGAAGGTTCTTTTCTGCTTTCCTATTTCTTTTCTGCTTCAACACTGACTGAACTTTTTTTTTTTCCTTCATACATCTCCAGTGACTTCCAGCTTTTAACAGCACATGGTCCAACTCAAAATCTTAACACAATCATGCATATGTTTGTATGAATTACATGAAAAGATCAGCATATCTGTCTGTTTTCCTTGCTGTACAGGTAGGAATTATTTTGCTTCACCCTTACTGCAGTCATTGTTAAGGCTTTGCAGTAAAGTACCAATTTAAGGAAGACGGGACACTACAGGCATTTAGCACCTGTTAAGCTTGGCATCAGCCCTACCAGCTTTTTGAAGCTTCACACTCAATTTAATTAAAAATGTTTTAAACGTAAACCGAGCTCAGGCCTTACATTTTGCACTATGCAGAAATGGATACTTACCCCAACTCTGTCATGCCGTCAACAAATTCCTTTTTACTGAATTCACATTGAGTAGCTGCCCTGAACTTCCATGCTACAACCAGAACACTGATACTGGCTGGGTCCAGGCTTAGATCATCACAGAACTGTTGAATCCCATCAATGCCAATTTTATTTTCATCTTGTGGGTCTGCAGTTCAAAATACAGACAGGAGAATTATAATTACTTAAAAAAAAAATTTACAATCATCTGCACAGCTTTGATATGCTGCATAACACAGGTCTTCCTTTTTTCATAAGCTTCACAAATGTCTTCACTTGAAATCTAGTTAATTTTAGAAGTACCTTGAAGAGTATCTGTAAATAGATTAAGTATTCTGCAAACTTCCCTAGAAATTGGTTTGCAACTTTTTCCTAAAATCATCAGCTAATGTCAATGAAATAGTTTTGTCTTCTCTCCACAATGCTCTATGAAAGATCTGAATTAACTGAGGAGATGCCTGACCACATCTAAAAACAGTAAGGCTGATGAACACATCAAAATGTACAATATATTTATTGGTTAGCATGTATTAAACTTCAAAAGAAAAAACAAACAAACAAAAAAACCCCAACAAAAACACACCCACCAAGTAAGCCCACGGATTTTTTTCCTGATAGGGATATATGATAATCCATTATAACTCTTTAAAGACCACAATTAACTCAAACATTTTTGGTTTTTAATTACAAGTCAAGGAAAACACCAAAACATTGCTCAAACAATGCCTTAGCATAACAGCGTCTTAAGCTAAACAATACAACTTGGGAAATATTATGTTTCAGTAGCACTAAGTTTACTACCTTTTTGGAGGTCAGAACGACACTTTGTAACTACCTACGTCAGGGTAGATGTCATTGTAACAATTCTGTAACTGTAACAAAATTCTCTCAGAAAAAAAAATCCCAAACCAGCAAGCAAAACCTCCTGCATGTAAACTTAAATAATTGGAGGGGGAAAAAACCCAAAACAACAACAACAACAACAAAAAAACCTCACCTTTAGTTTTCAAAGCTTGACAGTTTACAAACTACAAAACTGTCTTTCCCAGCTTTTGATAGGAAGACATTTCAGTATTGTAAGTTGGGCTACGTAGAAAAGAATCTTAAATTTACTTGAGGGATAAACTCCTTAAACTGGTAAGATTATCAATCATGCTATTTTTTAAGTCCTTATCCAATGAGTTCATTAAAAAAAATAATTAAAAATCAAGTCTAAAGAAAACTTTCCATTTTTTGTAGGGGGGGGGGATGTTAAGCGAAGATCTCTTCCACTTTTCCAGCCAATACAGTGGAATAAATGCTAAAATGTAGAGACAAAGTTGATTTAGCAAAGATTTATATCCATTAAACAAAGAATTACACCCATGGTGTAATTCAGGGACCTTTGAGCAGGAATAACAAGTAAACATATCTATTCTACTATATGCCAGATCTAGTTCTAAGACATGTAAAATGCATTTCTTGTATATTTGGGGAGTAATTGAAGAACCGAAGGCAAAAAACGCACTAGCGTTGAAGTCTAGCGGGAAAAATTCTGATGGATTTCAACAAGGACTGTTTCATCCTTATCATGTTTCACGTCATCCAGGTAACTAGGAACAAAAATGAAATTGTTTTGATAGAGCTGCTGGATAAACAGATAAGAAAACTAACACAAAGCACAGAAAATGAAAGACCTCTCATCTCAGATTTCAAATATAGCGCAATGTATGTAGCATTCTATAGGCCCTGTAGGACAAAGGAATCCCTTGATGTTGAGAGGGCAATGACTCAGGTTTAAGCTACATACGAAAAAAGGAAAGGTGCTTAACCAAACCTTTTATTGTTTTCTCTCAAATCTTGTGAAGGTTTTGTTCAAGTTTACAACTTTACTTAAGTGTTAAAGTACTAGAAGTGCAAAGGTGTGCTGCTAACCAAAACATGGACATAAAACTGACTAGACTTTCTTTCACAAAAGCCAAGTGGTGCAGTTTGCAACTGCTAGAAAATTATGAATAATAAATAACATTTGTGATTTTTTTTTTTTCATTTTAGATATTCTTAGTAGCACTTAGGAATTTGTATATATTTTTGACCCAGCAATCTCTAAGACTGGCATGCAAGGAGCAAGCAAAAGATTTAGATGTGTATATATATGTTATAT